TAGCAAGACCCTGTCACAAAAGGAAAAAACAACAACCAGAAGCAGCACTTGAGTTGGCTAGCAGGTCCCCCAGGAAGAATGTGCTAGAGGGGGAACCAAGGAGACAGGCACCGAGGTGGAACACAGAGGCTGAGTTACTCTGGTTACAGCCACCTGCTGGGCAGGCCACTAAGTTTCCAGTGTTCCCAAAGGGCTGCTGTAGTCTGAGCTTCCTTTCAAATAGGAGTAAGGGGACAACAGAATGAGTGACAAATGCAGTCACCAAAAGTTTCTGAAAGAGGTCACCAGGCTATCTTCAAAAGCTCAGCTGGTAAGAATTCAAGGAAGGCCTGGGATTTAACTCAGTGGTTTCTGCCGCCTTCCTCAATAGCGCAAGGTCCTGAGATCAACCACTAGTACCCAAAAAAAAAAAAAAAAATCAGGGCGGCTCTTTCAAAGGCTAAAAGGACCTTGCTTCCTGCAACCTACAAATCTTAGCCAGCACATCTAGGTCCATAAGATTGATCCTTTGTCAACAGTCAGCACCAAGGCGTCTGAAGTGTGACATAACTACCCAAGTCTGAGTAAATGCAGCGTCCACTTACGTTCCGGATGGGCATCACAGGTCCTGTCAGCTGGGTGGCCAATTTGAGTTCTTCAGCCTACGCATTAATGGGGAAAGTAAAGTGAGCTTAGCTTCACCCTCCGGAGGACCTCATGCTGTCATTCAGAGGAAACGCTGTGTCCTGCACCAACGCCCCCACAGCGAGCCCTCTGTGGAACCCCTACAGATGCATCACTATATCCTGTCTCGCAGATAAAACAGCAACCGGCAGATACCGTTCTTGTCCTGGCAGAGGTTCCCCGAACCAAAGCCACCCCCGACCCAACCCACAGGAAGCCCAGACGGAATTCAGCCCAATTTCCCGGGAAGTCTCTGGACACAAAACATCTCAGGAGGATTTCGCACCTCTCACGGCAGGACATGCTCTTTGGGCTGGAAAGCCATCCTGGTCATGGCGCCCATGGCTCATAGAGCTAAGGCTACAGGAAGCGTTTCCCCCCCCGGGGGGTAACCTCCCAGTGGCAAAGACCGCTGCACTCACAGAGCTGTCTCCCTTCTTGGGGGCCGACGGCTTCCTGGGGAAAAGGATGAGTTTGGAGCGGTACTCCTTCAGTCGCTGCACATTGGCCTGCAGGGACTCGGTGGATTTGTTCCGCCTCCTGGGGTCCACCGAGATGCCAATGGTCCGGGCTACCTTCTTGTGAATACCAGCCACCTGCCCGACAGACATGGATGAAGCCCAGGGCGCCCCGCCCGGACAGGCCCCAGTAAGCCCCCTCAGTGCTCAGATGGAAAAGGGTTCAAATGGGCTTTCATCAAAGCAGTACAGCGATTCCGGAGAATTGTCATCATTTCACTGAGCTCCGAGCAGCCCCGCGGCGGGCTGGAGGCGCCCGACTCACTCACCCGCAGCTCCTCCAGACTGAAGCCCCTGCCAGCTCGGACCTTGGTGTGGTACCGCACCGTGGGGCAGCGCACGATGGGCCGGATGGGTCCTGAGGCGGGTCGCGGGGCGATGCGGCGCGCTTTCGCCTGCCGGGCCTTGCGCCTGGTCAGAGAGATGCCAGGCGGTCACTTTGTCCCCACACCGCAGGGACCCGTTCCCACCTGAACGCCCTCCCGCCCGCCGCGCACCTGCGGATCTTCCGAGCCGGCTGGTTGAACCACGTAGCCACGCGCCGCTGCCAGTCCTTGTGGAAGTGGGGCTTCAGAATCATGCCATTCCGGCTGGGCGCCATGGCTGCCTATGGTCGCGAGGGAGAGAAGAACGGCGAGTGAGGGGACGCGCGCCCCAGGTCACTGCCCCAAGTCCGCCCGTCAGTCTGGGACCGGCCCGGCCCGGCGCCCTCTACGGCGTCGAAAAGGGCCCTCCATGACCACCCAAACAGCAGCGAGGGGCCGATGGGGGCAGATGGAGACCGATGGCAGCAGGCGAACACACTCACCTCTTACGCCGGGGAAAGGCCGAACAGAAAGGAGCGACGCCGCAAAGCACCCTGGGATAGTAGAAGGTCTGGCCAACTAGAAGAACCGGAGCGTTAAGACCAATCAGATCCAGGAGAGGCGGAAGTGACCTCCCCACGACGACGCCTCTCCCGGCTGCCCTCGCGCCCTGGCAGATGTGGCGAAGCTTTGCAGTCTTGCTCCCCCTGCTACAGTGATCGCGTCCTTTCAGCCTCGAGACTCTCCTGCGGGGGTTAGCGGGGCTGGCCTAGGCCACAGGAAGACTGGCGGACCAAAGCTCTGGGGAGTCTTGGTAGGGACACAGTGGGTCAATGGCGCGGAGACGGCAAATCCTTTGATTTAAAATTAGCGTTCAAATTTCTTCGTCCTCGTCAGCCTAGCATTTATTCCCTGGCATAAATTCGAACATTCAAGGGAGTTGCGGGTAGGGGGGCTAAAGTTTATTTTTTAAAAATTCGAACATATATGCGTCTTTGTTTAGGTAAGGCTTTCACACCGGCGTGGTGGCTCACCCCTGTAATCTCAGCTACTTGGGATGCGGTAGAACCCCTCCCAAAGGAATGTGGTGAGGACCTCAGGTCAAGAGAAGACAACATGGCACAATCCGTTCCCATGTAATTCTGACACGGCTTTGTCACATAAACCGTACTCTTAGCATATAAGGGAGACAAAAATTGTGTAAAAGGTGAAATTACGCTATGCTTGTGGGTCAGCCTTTTGGGTATTAGCCGAGCCCATGCCGGGACGAACAAAGTTGCTTCCTGGAAATAAAAGCCTCAGTGTCCTGTCTCTGTGTGAGAATCCTGTAATAGGTAGGCTGAGGCAGAAGGATCACAAATTTGAACCAAGCCTGGGGAATTTAGAGACCTTGTCTCAAAATACAATAAATAAGGGTTGAGCGCTTGCCTAGCGTGTACAAGGGCCTGAATTCCATCCCCAGTCTGTGTGGGGCAGCTAAGTTTTATTGGGTGTTTTTGTTTTTTGGTTTTTTGAGACAGGGTCTGGCTATGTAGTTCAGGCTGGCCTTGAACACACTACGTATGTAACCTTGGCTAGCCTTAAACTCGAGACCTCCCAAGTGCTGGGACTGCAGGCATCCACCGGGCTATTGGGTGTTTTCTTCAAGCTTGGCATTCAGTACTTTAATTGGATTTTTAATTTGCACAATCACCAAATCTGCACCATTGGCCTTTGGCCAATTTAGGTCACTTTTCTGAGGTCCAAAGTGACTAACTGCAAATGTCACATTCTCACCTGCAACAAAAAACCAGGAAGCAGCCAGGCACTCCCTTGTCTGTCCCTGTTCACTTTCTATTCAGGACAAGTCTGAAATCACCATCACTCTACTACTAGCTGTAAACCTTTACAAGAGCCCTCTTTCTTGCTTGCCTTCCTCCTAATCAGGATCTGTCCTAGTGAAAATCAGTGTTTAAAAAATTTCACGACACAAAACATGTGGAGGCCTGTGTCCTGCACTGAATAAAGGTTGCTGATAATTCTTTGCCACATTGAGACATCCTTGGTTGTTAGAAAAATCAAGCTGGTATTCACAGACAAGCCACTATGATCAGGAAGACAAACCATGTAAAAAGGGTACAGGTAGCCATTCACACAAATGTCCAAGTCTCCTGGAAGTTCACATTTCAGTTCTGCCATCTAGCATATGTGTGTTCAATCATGAAACAAGGGCAATACTAGCCTTGTTTGCTACAGTTGTTTGCAGATATAAGGCCATAAATGAAAGCACTGCTCAGTAGATGCTGTAAATAGTAAACAGTGTCCATGAAGTAAACATGGAACAGCTCTATAGTCTGCCAAACACATGGGCAAACTAGATCTGCAGCCCACGAGTCGCCCTGGGTTCTGTCTTTGCTGTACTGGTTTTGAGACTGGGTGTTATTTGAACTTCTCCAGTTGTGTGAAAAGGGAGGAGCTGCTGGTAAAAGTGGTCAGTGTGGGGGGCAACCAGGGCTGTAACTCAGGGGCACAGCATCAGCCTGGCAAGCGCGAGGCCCTGAGTTCAATTCCTGGTACCAACAAAAAAAAAAAAAAGACTGGGGTGTAGCTGAGTAAGACAGTGCCCCTGAGTTCAGGCCCCACAACTGCAATGGAAGTGGTCAGTGATGTTGGTCAGGACAGGCACATGGCAGGAGCCAGCTCGGTCAAGAGTTAGGGTTACAGGGCCGGGGATGTAGCTCAGTGGTTTTGGTGCCTGCCTCACAAGTACAAGGTCCTGAGTTTGATCCCTGGTACCAAAAAAAAAAAAACAAAGCAAAACAAAAAAGAGGGTTAGGACTGGAAGAGAGAGAGAACATGTTGAAAGATCTACCGTCCTCCCTTTATCCAGTGGAGCTGCGGTGGAACTCCATGCTGGAGGCCCAGCTTCAATCCTCCTGCCTCAGCCTCCAAGAGCACTGGGATAACAGGCATGTGCCACCACACCTGGTTTCCTATAGCATTTTGGGTTCAACAAACTGTTACATAAGTGAGCATGTTGTGTGGTCATCTAAACGTGAGCCAGTGAATGGTTAACCAACAGCCTAACTCAGTCAAGAACCACACCATCACAGGTCATCATCCAGCCTCCTGGCTTCTAGAGATGTGGCCTGTGGCCTGTATCTCCATCAGCCTGAGCCGAGGTGAAACTGTCTGACACATGATAAATGCTGATGTCAGGAAAAACAAAGTATGCCACCATGTGAGCAGAAATGTTTATTATGCTGGCCGGGCGTGGTAGCACACACCTGTAATCCCAGCACTCAGGAGGGTGAGGCAGGAGGATTGCTACGAGTTCCAGGCCAGCCTGTGCTACATAGTGAGTTCAAGTCTAGCTTGAACTACTATGCTGTGAGACGTCTCAAAAAACAAAAGGGCTGGGGATTTAGCTCAGTGACACTGCACCTGCCTCGAAAGCCCAAGGTCCTGAGTTGTATCCCTGGTACCAAAAACAAAACAAATAGTTGAGTATAGATCAGAGTGGAGGAAAGCAGGCTGTACAGTTTTGGAATTTAATGTTTTCTTTTCACAACCTTGAATGACCTGGGGGCTTTCCAAGATTTTTCCAAGGCTGTTAATTCTGCATACTACGTAGAGTGTGTGCGTGGCTGGTGGTAGTGGTGCACACCTGGAAGCCCAGCACACTAAGGCTGAGGCATGGGGACTGCACGTTTGAATCCAACCTGGGCAACACAGTGATTCAGCTAGACCTGTCTAAAATTAGTAATAATAATAATAATAATAATAATAATAATAATAATAATAATAATAAAAGGCTGAGGACATAGCTGTGTGAAGGCCCTGGGTTCAATTTCCAGGACTGGAAAAGGAGTATGTGCTTGTCTCCAAGAAGCTTCGTGTCTGGCCAGAGCATGGTGATCATGTCAGAGGGCCAAGAGCAAGCCTGGTCCCTTAGTGCTACAGCATGTGATTGGCAGTTGGCACAAACCCAGTGTCTCTCTGAGCAATCCCCAAGGATGACAACAGGCAACATCTAAACCACTGATCTAAATCAGGGCGACGGCCATGCAGTCTACTCCCAGGATCCTGAGTCGATGCACTTGACATGTCATGGCCCTCAAGCTGCCAGGTCACCTGTTACTCAGCAAATAATTCCCAGCGATAAAGAGACATGGGCCATCTCAACGGGTAATGTACCTAGTGCCACATCCATGACAGAATGCTACCCTGTGGCAGAGGGACCAGCCAACAGCATCCTAACCAAGTGCTGACCTTGGGCTGAGGGTCAAAGTGTCCTCCTCCAAACTCCCATTGTCCCCATTTGCCCTCCTGCATCCTAGCAGTCTTCCTCAGGGCCCTGCAAGTACAGCCACAGCCATGTAGCCCATCCATCGGGAAATAACTGCAATCCACAGCACCATATGGCACCACACAGGACAGAGGCCCAAGGACAGGTACGTGCATGCAGCATCCTAGACACGGGAGCCCACTTTATCCCTATACAGTGTGGGTCCCAGATTCCTACAAAAAGAGCTTGCCTTCTTTTTGGAGACAGAGTCCAGCTGGCGTTGATTTTGCTCTCCCCAGCCTTCCTAGCGGCTGAGACCATAAGAGTGCCACCCACCTGGCAGGCTTCTCGGGACTGATGGCTCTGGGTGTAAACTCGAAACAGGACCCTGTGGTCCAGGATAAGCCCACCGCCCCAGTGAGCTGTGCGGTGCAAATGCAGAATCTCCATCCACAGAATGTGTTAGTGAGGGGTTACAGCGATTATCAGGGTGGTCAAAAGCATGGTGTCCCCATGAGGCACCAGGCTGGCTAGTTCTCCTCTCAGTCCGGTCCACACAGCAGTAGGTGGCGTTGTCTGCCAGGTCCCAGCTCTGACTTCCTTAATGAGTGAGCACCAGAAAAACAGCTGCTTAGAGAGTCCTGTCACAGAGTCCTGTTGGCATTCGGAGAGAGCTGCCTGTGGGTCACACGGCCACACACAGAGACAGCACACAGATGGCCCTGGGAACACAAGAACTCCCATGCTCCTGACAGATGCGGATCTCCCCCAGGGGAAAGGATGCACAAACGCACAGCTGAACCAGTCGCTTCTGCAAAGACATTTACTTGTCATGGGTCTCAGTTGCCCTCAGAACACCAGGGCTTGCAGAGGAGATACACAAGGTGAAGTGAAGGTGAGAGGCATCTTGGGCGATGGGCAAGGAGTCCCAGACCATCCAATTCCAGCTACCCAGGTCAGGAGAGCTCCTCCCCGTGCAGGGGGGGCAGTGGGGCGGCCTCCTCCTCCCCAGCCTCTTGGCTCTCACTTTGGGCATCAATCCACTTCTGTGGTGCTATCATTTTTTTGGGCCCGTGGGGCGGTGGGCCAATGAGGGCCTCAATGTCCTCATAGTTTATCACTTCCTTTTGCAGGAGGGCATTCGCCAGCTAGAAAGAACAAACAGGGCAGTGTGTGAGTCTGTGAGACAAAGACAAGACAAGAGCCTTTGAGAGCACAGCTTCCGAGACAGGGGCTCATTCAACAGAGTCCGTCCCGAGAGGCATGTGGGCCCGTCTGAGAGCAGAACGCCTCGGCCGGCCACTTTCCCAGGGAAGCAGAGGCAAAGGCAGCTCAGGCAAAGAAGAATCACTCCCTGTCTCACCCTGGAAATGATCTCCCAGCTGCCAGCCTCACTGATTTCTCTACTTCCTTCCAAAATCTCTGCTTATTTCTGGCAGCTGCAATTTCCTTCAGGAAGCAAGGCAGTGTGTCTGTGGAGAGGGGAGGGCTGCAGAGCCTCCTGCCTGGACTCAGGGTGGCGCTGACACTGCAGTAAGGGCGGGGGCTCCAGACAGGGTCCTCAGAAGAACCCTAAATATTCCCCGTAGGTCCCAGCCCACAGCCATGTCTCGTAGGTCCCAGCCCACAGCCATGTCTCGCTGGCTTCTTGCTGGTTAAGGCAAAACCCCCACATTCTCTCCCTTCTGTTGGAACTCATGGCCGCACAAATGCCTCACGTTCTCCACTGAGTGACGCTCCAGCCATTCCCACATTTTCTGAACAGTGGTAACCCTGACACACGTGGTGCCCCTGCGGCCACACTGCAGGGGACACGTGGTCCCTCTATCACAGGACTAGAACCTGGCACCCCAGCTGCAGCCTTGCCCCCAGTCATTGCATTCCTGCTGCATCAGGTTCCCAGGCACTGCTGCTCCCTGGTGTGCACCTGGTTCACAGGCAGAGGCTGGGGCAGGTGCCCTGGTCTGGGGCCAACACTCCAAGGGCCAGAAACATGACAGCACCTGGCCGAGGAAACCACCACCGCGCTCCTCCTGCCTGTCTGCATGACACCAAGAGCTGTCACCTTGCCTGGGTAGTGGGTGGCAGTTCAGACCAGGCACGCAGAGGAACACGCCTTGGCTATCCTCTCACTCCCACTGCCCACATGGTCTCCTCAGGATGGCTGAGGCCCCAGGACAGGGTGGGGCTGGGAAACTGTCATAGGTAAGAGAAGCCCAAGGATGTGTGGCATCCCCACACCCTGTGGGATCTTGGGCCGAAGGGGGACACTGGGGAAAAGCTGAGGACACAGGAACCAAGAGTGGGCATCAGTTAACAATGCTACCTCCATGCTGGGTCCAGGGCTGTGGAAAGTATTTGCCAATGGGGAGCAGGACACGGGGCATGAGCATGCTCTGCACTATACTGGCAACTTTTCTATAAATTGAAACCTACTCTAAAACTTAAAAAGTTTTTTGGGGTGAGGAATTTAGCTCAGTGGCGCCATGCCTGCCTCACAAGCACAAGGTCCCAAGTTCGATCCCCGGTACTGCAAAACAACAAAAAAAAGTTTTTTGGAAAAAGACTAGACAGAGCTGATAACAGGTTGTAACTGCTAGCACTGGTCACATGCTCTACTTGGAAGGGGCTGGATGACGCCTTGGGCACAGGCCAGCATCCTGCAAAGGTGGCCCTGCCCCATGCCCCTGCCACTTACTGCCTGCAGCTTGTCCAGGTTGTCCAGAAGCACCTTCTCCGTGTGCCTGTAGGCCTTGGCCACCAGCAGCTTCGCCTCCTGTGGAGCCAAAGAGGCAGCTGACAGCCAGATCCAACACCACATGCAGAAGACAGCAGGCTTGGAACACGCCTTTCTTCCCTCGCCATGAGCGGTGAGCCCTGCTCTGTGCTGTCTCAGGGCATCCTGCTCATCCTGCCTGCCACCACCCACACTGTAGGCAGCATCCATCTGAAGGGCGCTGTCTGTCCTCAGGACCCTCCCCGCCACATGAGCAGCTGGAGCTGTCCCAGCACAGGCCAGAACCCTCCTGGTGCGGCCCACCGGACACAGGTGCCATGCTACTCAGTGTTTACCTGACATTCTGTCCCTGAGTCACAGCTGCGACTTCATCTGGACCATTAGTGAGAGCTATGGCAGAGGGCAGCAGCTGTGGGCAGGGATAGCCGTACAGGGCAACTTACATGGTCCATCATCTGCTGGAGGCCCTGGCTGAAGGGGCGCCGTCCGATGTCCATGAGGCCCTCCTGTGCCTCAGGAAAGGAGACAGGCCCAATGCTGGGCACCATCCCGAACTGCTTCACCATGGAGTAGGCAATGCGCGTGACCTTCCTCAGGTCATCCTGGGCCCCTGCAGTGTGGGGTGAAGGAAGGAGAGCACCCTCAGGCTCTCAGGAGCCAGCATGGCAGCACAGCCCCAGGGCGCCAGGCCCACAGGGTGGCACTGTACTTCCCCACACGGAACCTGAGACAGGGACCTCTGCATCTTGTTACTGCTCCCAGGAGAAAAGTCAGACTCGCAGCCATGCCTGGATTTGCAGTCAACTGCTTGGGACCCTGCTGGGGCCACTCAGCAGTTCCCAAGCAGACCAGGTCTGAATCAGGAACCAGACAACCTTGAGCCTAAGGTCCCTGGATGAGCAGGGGCCTGTGACCACTCTGGACAGCCCAGTGGAGATCCAGCTTCGGAACAGCTGCTTCAGTTTCATCCAGTTCTGTGTAGCCAGGACTGGAAAGTAACCAACTAACGCATTTATACTCTGTGTAAATGTGAATCTACACCATGTATGTCTCTCAATGATTCACGTGCCACAGACAAAGGCTGGGAGGGCCTGTGGGCTGAGTCTCACCAGAAGTAACCCGGCTGAAGGAGATGGCCTCGGCTGCACGGCCGCCCAGGGCCATGCACATGCGCTCAAACAGCTGCTCGGTGGTGAAGAGATGCTGGTCTCGGGGCAGCATCTGCGAGAAACCCAGTGCGGCGTTCGTCCGAGGTGCAATGGAGACCTGCGGAGGGCAAGGTGGTTGCACTGGTAGTAAGGGATGTCCTGTTTCTGTGCAGGACAGACCTGTCATCAGGGGTCTGGACAATCAGGTATGTACTGGGTATCTTCTTCCCTTGTTTTGTTTATTTACATCACCCCACTTTTAGAACAGAAAAGAACCCTAACATCAAAGGCTACCAACCCATGGGAGTACAAAAAGGGCTCCTGGGAGGTGTCCCCTCATTGACCCGACCTATTCAGGAAGCCACCACGAGGTGCTGGACAAAGCGCACGCCAGGTACAGTCTGCACTGACACTCCTAGACACACTGTCACCTACAGGATACCCCAGGACACACGGGAGGACAGGAGAGACCTTTCCCCAGCGCACCTTGCTCTTTCTCCCTTAAGATCTCCATGCCCAGAGCACAGGAGGAGGAGAGGCCCATGCTCCAGCAGGACCAGAATCACTGCATCACCCACGGAGCACAGGGGCCCTGTGCTGGCCCAGTGAACGGTGGTGGTGGACCAGGTCAGACCCCAAGGGAGGTTGAAGATGGCACCTAATGCCAGGGCTGCAGTTATAGCTCAGAAGCAGAGCACCTGCCTCCTATGCACAAGGCCTTGGGTTCCATCCCTTGCACTGGAAAAACCTCTAGAACCAGGCCAGGGATTTAGCTCAGTGGTTTCGCCGCCTGCCTTGCAAGCTCAAGGTCCTGAGTTCGATCCCCGGCACCAAAACAAAACAACACAAAACCCTGTAGAACCAAGTTACACAATGATTTATGGTTCTCAAAAATACGCCTGATCCCAACTGGCTCAGTGATAATAACCTGACACCTTTCCTTGAAGTACAACACTAGGTTACCTGACTTAGAGCCATTAAATAAAAGGGAAATCTGAGAACAAAAGGAAATTCAAATTCTGATTCATCACAAGTTTTTCTGCATTAATTTGAGCCATTGTTCAACTTTGATGCTGGGTCTATGAATGCACCCTGATTGCTGGGTACCCAGCGCTCCCCTCCCTGCCCACCTGGCCCTGGCCACAGGGAACTCTGAGCACCGAATGTGTGACAGAGGCAGCCGAGTAGCCACGGCTGCTGACACAGGAGGTGGAGCCAGGCGGCCTTCTCAGGCAGTGCAGGGCATTGATCCTAACCCTAACCCACACCCCAAGTGCCACAGCTGCCGTGAGGAAGGGCCTGCAGGATCTGCAGTCAGATCCACAGGCTCTCTGGCAGCTGCCTCCAACACACCACTTGGAGCTGCTGGTGGGAGCAGGGTTTCCAGGCGCAGGGAGCTCACAGCGATGTGCTAACTTCAGAGCAGCAGGGCTGATGGTGGGCGACGACAGTGACAGCGACCTTGCCAGTCTTAGCATGAGGCACACGTCCCTCCCACCCACCTTCATCACAGCTTCTGTGTGCTCCAGCAGCCAGCCCACCAGGGCATGGCCCGACTCGTGAAAGGCCACAGCCCTCTGCTCCTCCCTGGAGAGGACCTTGCTCTTTTTGGCCGTCCCTGAAAGAAGCAGAGCCCAGTGAGTCTAGGCTCACCTCAGCCTGCCCCAGGCCCTCTGACCCCAGCACTTCGGCAGCACTGCCTGGCTCCGGGGCCTGGTGCCCCAACTCCAGGGGCTGCTGGGAGGAGCGCAGACAAAGAGGGCAGATCTCCTCCTCCCACGAGCAGAGGTATGAAAGTACCACCCCTACCCCGAGCCCTCTTGTCCCGGGAGGCCTGTGGGGCTGGGGCTTGGAGGGCTGTCTGACGTGGTCACTGACTGCAGCACGGTCTGCTCTGAGTTCATGTGCCCTATATCTGCGCTGGTGGCCATACCCCACTCTACAGCTCATGAACTGACTGCCTCATGCCTGGGACAACTCTCTGGTTAAACCTGTGCTCAAACCTGTGTGGCTACACTGCCCCAAACTCCAAACATCTTTGGGTTCCATTAATGCACCCTGAACAGACTCTAGGCTTACAGCGTTCAGGACTTTGTGTGACTAAGCTCACCTAAGACCAGGCAGTGGCAGGGGAGTCACTGCAGCATGAGACCTCGGGCTCTGAGATAGGCTGCACCTGAGCAGAGCTACCAGCCAGCTAGCTGGGCATCAGCAGTGGGTGCAGGCGGCACTTGCCCTCAGCACCTCACGCAAGGGAGACAGTGTCCTGTTGGGACCTCGTTGTTGCCGTTTCGAGACAGGGTCCTGTTATGTTCCAGGCTGGGCTCAAACTCACTATACAGCCCAGGCTAGCCTTAAACTCCAGATCCTACTGCCTCAGCGTTCTGAGAGCTGGATTACAGCATGCATCACCATGCCCGGCTGTCCCATAGAATCTTAAGGGCCCTGATATCCCACTCTGCCTCTGCCTTGATGCTATGACTATAGATGACAGGTCCCACAGAACAAGCAGTGAGGAGGGGTTTCTGCTCCAGGCAGGTCAGCCCATCCTCCCACCCTGGGAACCTAGGTGCCACGTGTCCCTGGAACATGCTTCCTGCAGGGGCAGCACGCAGGGCAGACTCTGGGCTTCTCTGACTCAGTGCCAAGAAGGGCTCTCTTTCCAATGTCCACCCTCTCGGGCTACGTCGTGGGGCTGCAGCAGCTTTTGGAGGCCCTCAGGTTCAGCCCTGCTCTTCAGCACCTGTGGACATAGCTGGGAGAAGCCCCAACCACTGCCCGAGTACCTCAGGGCCACAAGCACTGGGATGGGGAGCTGAGCAGGGCTGGATCCCTGGTGATGGCAGCCTTGACCTACCCAGAAATGCAGCTGCCTCTGGTCCCTGGCGGTGGAGGCAGCTCCTACCTGAGCCACAGGCCCTTTGCATCTGTCTGAAGCGCATCTGCACCCATCCCACCCCAAGGAAAGGGTGTAATTTTCTGCTGCTTAAAAGATGGCAGGGTGGGCTGGGGATTCACCTCAGTGGTTCTTCCCTACCTCGAAAGTGGGTGTTCCATCTCAATACCAAAAACCAAAACCAAACAAACAAATAAAAAAGATGGCTGGGTATGGTGGAACACGCCTGTAATCCCAGCTCTCTAGAGGCTGAGGCAGGAGGATCTGTGAGTTTGAGGCCAGCATGGGCTACATAGCAATAGTGAGTTCAAGGCCAGCCTGAATTACACAGCATGACCCTGACTCAAAAGACAAAAAACAAAGAGGGCCTGGGATTTAGCTGAGTGGTTCCATCACCTGCCTCACAAGCACATAGGCCTGGAGTTGATCCCCCCCCCCCCAGCCGCCAAACAAAAACAAAAAACAGTAAGATGTTTTAAAAATAAATAAATATCTTTTAAAAAAAGGGCTGGGGATTTAGCTCAGTGGTTACACCCTGGCTTCCAACTGGAGTTTGATTCCGGTACCAAAGAAAACAAAACAAACAAAGAAAATGGCTAGGCATGGTGGCTCATGACTATAATCCCAGCACTAGGGAGGCTGGGGCAGGTGGATTGCTGTGAGTTTGAAGCTAGCCAAGGCTATATGGTGAATTCAAGGCCAGCCTGGACTACACAGCGAGACCCTGTTTCAACAACAACAACCAAAAAAAAAAAAATTAAAAAAAAAATAAAATGAGGAGGAAAGCATAAAGTGGTGGGGTGCTTGCTTAAATAGGAGGAAGGCCTTAGATTCATTATCTAACACCAGAAAAAAAAAAGAAAGCTATTTAAAGGATGCTGCCCTAGCCTGGACCTGCTCCACCCACCCCACCTGATTTCAGTTTTGTATGGCTGCTTCATCTGCTATTTCTGGGCCAATCCTGCCAACAACACAGATCTCTGGAAGGCCAGTCCCACCTGCCACGACCCGCTCCACAGCATACTCGAAGTCCAGCGTGTGCACGGATGAGTGCCCCTCCCGGGCGGCATGCAGTGCAGCCTCATTGCAGATGTTGGCGATGTCAGCACCTGAAAAAGAAACAAAGCCTGGGCAGGTGAAGGGTTGGAGGGGCAGGGAGGCGGAGACATGGCCAGCCAAGTGCCATGGGCAAGTGGGACACAGACATGGGGACAGATGAATGTCAGGCCCAGGCCACGGAAGGGAAGCTGCTGACTGAGGAATGGTCCCTCCTCCTGAACACTCAGACGCCACTGTCACCAACACAGGTCTCTGTCACCCTGCGCTTCACTCTCTGACATTTCATAGGGACACTGGTGGAGGAGAAACTGAGGGCTTAGAGACGAACTGATAACCAAAGGCAAGAAAGAGTGAGATTTTTATTTACATTAATTTTCTGTTATAGGTGGGACTGGGAATAGGACCCAGGGCCTTCACCAGTCCTTTCTGATTGATTGACTGACTGCTGTGCTGCAGATCAAAGCCAGGGCATGGGCGTGCTGGGCAAGGGTCTACCAGTGAGCTACATTCCCAGCCTCCTTTATTTACTTTTCGAGGTGCGGTCTTGTTAAGCCATTAAGTTATTCAAGCGAGGCTTGAACTTGTGACCCTCCTGCCTCAGCCTTCTTCTGACCCAGCTCTGTGATACCTGCTTCTTGTGACTCCATTTGGGGGCGGGGGACCCAGTCTGGACTGGAAGTTCCTGAGTGATATCCACGTGACAGTCACAACACAGGGCCCCAAAGGCAGAAGCACAGGTACTACCCACAGGGGACACTGCTGGAGACGAGGACACCCTGACCACCACCTGCAGTCAGTGCGGCTGCAGATCTGCTGTGGGAAGAGGGGTCTGCTGACTGGCGCCCCAGTGGTGGCACAGTGCCCCCTCAAGGTGGCCTGGTGCCCACACACACAAGCAAGGTTACAGCCTGGAACGTACCACTGAATCCTGGCGTCAGCTCTGCCAGCCGCTGTGAGTAAAATCTGCTCTCCTGGGTCAGCTTCAGGCCTTTCAGGTGCTGTTCGAAAATCTCTCGCCGCTCCTGCACAGTGGGAGACACGGGCTGGACACATGGCCGAAAGCACAGTGCTGGGGACCTCTGGGGTCACGGGCACTGTGGGTTAGGAGTCAAGTGTTCAGGGTCCGAGTCCTGATCCATGGTCTGGGAGAGCAATTAGAGAGCTTTGAGCAGTGTTTGGAAGGGAAGAGAAGTAAACTAGAAGATGAGGCACATCGCACACGGCAAGGGTGTATTTTGTGAAACTTCTGCTTCCCACACAACTTGTATGCTCCATCGAGGGTGTCCAATCTTTTGGCTCGCCTGGGCCATCCCTCTTGCCTAAGAGAAGTGTCTTAGGCTGCATCTAAAATACGTAACAGTTAATGTGTATAACGAAACTTCCGCTTTTCTTCTTGCAATTATCTTGCAGGGGCTTTCTGCTGAACTACATTCCCCTAGCTTTTTTTTGGGGGGGGGGTACCAGGATCGAACTCAGGACCTTACACTTGTGAGGCAGGCGGCGGAACCACCTAGCTAAATCCCCGGCCCCTCCAGCCTCTTTTTAAAATGTTGCGATAGGGTCTGGCTAAGGTGCCCAGGCTGGGCTCAAACTTTTGGTTCCCCTGACTCAGCCTCTCAGGTGTTGGGACGACAGGTGAGCAGCACTCTGGTTACACTTTTCTTTTTTCTTTTTTAAAAACAAGGTCTCGGGGGCGGGATTTAGCTCAGTGGTTCTGACACCTGCCTCAAAAGTGTAAGGACCCGAGTTTGATCCAGTACCAAAAAACAAACAAACAAACAAAACAAAAGAAAACAAGGTCTCTATGTACTTCATGCTGTCCTTGAACTCACAGTAATCCTTCCTGCTTTGGCCTCCTGAGTGCTGGGATTGTAGGCATGTGCCACCACACCCACTTTAGAATTTCCTTCTAAAAAATATTTTTATAGCTGGGCATGGTGGTGCATACTTATAATCCCAGTACTCAGGAGGCTGAGGCAAGAGAACTGTCATGAGTTCAAGGGCAGCCTGGATGTCATAGTGAGATCCTGTCTCAAGAAAAAAAGACAAGACAGGATGTGCTGGCTTGGTCACAATAAAAATGTTTTCACAGACGTACAGTGTGGAGGGTGGAAAACTATTCTCATCAGCATCGCTGGGTTTTACTCTCCAAATCACATGAGTGCATGCAGAGTCAGATCTGTTTCAACTGTGCCTTCCCTGTGGTGTTCTGCTGCCACCTCCACAGTCTGTGCTGAGGGAGTACCACCCACTGAGTCATAACAGTGCCGAAACTCCCACGGTGCTCAGTTCACACCTGTGTGGGGGTCGCACTGCTAGCTGTCCAGGGCCATCTGCGGCCCCCAGGGCACATGCTGGACACACCTGTTCTCTCCTGGCACCCAGTGCCTCCCACAGAGACGGGCAGCCTGCGGTGGAGCCAGCAGACTGCTGGGGTGTGTGAGCTTGCAGCTCACGCCTGCACTGAGCGATGGAACAGCCTTTCTTTCCACCTTCCAGGGCTCCTGCTCCTTCAGGCCACAGTGAAAGCCTTTGCCCAGGTGGAGCCAGGCCAACCAGGGGCTTGCAGACAGGTTATCCAGGGAAGCCCCAGGCACTAGGATGCCCTCCACCTGTTCCAGGGGCAAATCAAGTTCTTCAGGGCCTTTCTATGTAGTCCAGGCTGGCCTTGAACTTGCAGTGATCCTCCTGCTTCAGCCTCCCGGTGCAGGGATACAGGCATATGCCACTAGGTCCCACTTAAAGTTTTAAAATTTTGGGCAGGGGATTTAGCCCAGAGGTACCACCACCTGCCTCACAAGTGCAAGGTCCCGAGCTCGATCCTGGTACCAAAAAAAATTTTTTTTAAATTTTGAGACAAGGTCTTGGTAAGTTGCCCAGGTAGCCTCAAACTTGCATCCCTCCTGCCTCAGGCTCCCAAGGAGCTTGTGCTTCAGGCACGCACCATCACACTGGATCAAAGCCAAGCTAAGAGAGCGAGAGGAACCTGCCAAGGCTCCTCACAGAGCTTGCATGGGACACAGAGGATGTGCAGCGTGGATTTTCCTTTCCCAGATTTGGTTCCAAAGGGTAGACTCAGCTGGGCATGGTGGCACACACCTGTGATCTCAGCACTCAAGAGGCTGAGGCAGGAGGATCGCCGTGAGTTCAAGGCCAGCCTGGGCTACATAGTGAGAGTAGGCCCAGAGCAGACCATCAACCCCGACCTGAAGGGCAAAATCAGCAATGGGTTAAGTACAAGCTGCCTGCCAGCCAAGCAAGGGCAGCAGGTTGGGTAGGCAGATGGCACCAGAGGGAACGTGCCCTCCGAAGTGTGGGCACTGAGCCCACACCCCCAGGCCGCCTGCCCAGCTCCTGTGTGCTAACCTGCAGGGTGGGAAGATCGATGAAGACATGCCGGTCGAGGCGGCCAGGCCTCATCAGAGCGCTGTCCAGGATGTCAGCTCGGTTTGTGGACGCCAGGACGATGACGTGGTCTGTGGTGCCCATTCCTGGGAACAGACAGACACAGAGACCTTCAGGGTGGGCATCGGTCCCTTCACTGACCACTGCCAACCATGTCAGCAGCCGGGCCTGCCCACCTCTGTGAACAGGGCAGTGACACACAGGCACCCCATACCATGGCATCTCCACCATGACATCCTAATGCTCTGTCTTCCAGCCTCAGATTTAGACCCAACTCCTTGCCCCAGAAGTTAAATGTGGATTCAGAAAGACCAGCATGATGGCACATGCCTGCAATCCCTGCTATTCAGGAGGCTGAGGCAAGAGGACTGAGTTTAAGGCCACCTGAGCAACTTGGCAAGGAGCTTGATTTCAAAATAACACCAAAAAAAAGTGCATTCAGAGACTCACTGGCTGGGCATGTTGGTGGATGCCTGTAATCCCAGTGCTCAGGAGGCTGAAGCTGGAGGATCACCAGGCGTTTGAGGACAGCTTGTGTTATTCTACGAGATCCTGTCTCAAAAAACAAGGACCTCAGCTGCCCCACCACGCCTCTCCCTAAACCTGATGGGACTGACCTGCTCTGTCTCTAGTTTTGTCATCTGACGTCAATGAATTGGAAATCTGTGCTGTCGCCTTTGAGACTGGCTCTTCATTCAGCGTAATTCCCACAGAGTTGAGGCAGGTGGGAAGCTTCTTTCTGTTTTCTTTTTTTTTTTGCAGCTCCGGGGATCAAACGCAGGACCTTGCACTTGAGAGGCAGGTGTGCTGCCACTGAGCTACCTCCCCGGCCCTCTTCTACTTTTTAGATAGGTTCTCACTAGGTAGTCCCTTGCACTCACAATCATCCTGGCTCCTGAGTGCTGGCTGGGGGTGCAGAAGTGCAGTCCATGCCCGGTTGAACTTTCTTTTCATTGCTATATTGCAGACAGTAAGGAAACACCAGCGTTTAATTATTCACCCACTGAGAGACACTTGTGCTATCTAGGGACTTAGCTACGGCAGATAAATAACACTGTGGCACAGGAAGCTGACGGGAACTCTTCTGTCCTCAGGGTGTGGAATGGAATAGGCTGGCCGGCCAGAGATGCTGGGCACAGAAGTCTGGCATCTCCATATCCGGGGAGCTCTTGGTGGCATCTGAGTTCTTAGTCTAGCCACCTCTGGTGTGTTCCCCTCAAATTCAGCAAGAGACAGGCACACTGTAAAACTGATGTGAGCCAGGCGTGGTGACACATGCCTGTAATCTCAGCATTTGGGAGGCTGAGGCAGGAGAATTACAGTGAGTTCAAGGCCAGCCTGAACTATACAGTAAGACCCTGTCTCAAACAAACAAACAAATGGAACAAAACAAAGGAGAAACCTACATGACTAGTATATGTGAAACTCTGTGGCACTACAAAAAAAGAGAAACAAAGATAGCCCACAAGAGAAAATCTTTAGGGCCGGGGATTTAGCTCAGTGGCACCATGCCTGCCTGGCAAGTGTAAGGCCCTGAGTTCGATCCTCGGTACCACAAAAAGAAAAAGAAAAAGAAACTCTTTAGGATCTAGGAACAGCAATTAGTTTTCAGACTTCACACTAAAGGCAAGTTCCACAAAATCAAAAGTTCATCAACTGGACCACAATGAAATGAACACTGCTCTGTGAAAGAGCCTCACAGAGGTGAAAAACAGACTGGCAGAAGACACTTGTGAGCCCCATCTCCACCCAGGACTGGGCTAGAACACATCCACTGCAGCTCCACAGTGACGACCTCTCAGCCAGACCCGAGTGTCCAGGTGCCACCCGCCCTCCCGTCCCTGCAGCCAGCACCAGGGCTGCCCCATTCCTCCCACAGCCAGGGCAGCACCGAGTCCTCTGGAGTCCGCACAGCTGCTGTGGCCTCGCTGCCCAGTGTGCCATCCAGTCAGGGACCTGGGGCACAGTGGCTGAAGCAGTCAGCTCCTCTGGCAGAGTCCTCACCTCACCCCGGGGAACAGCTGACAATTCTGCAGATGCTTGGCCAGGGCCTCCCCTCCCACACAGGTGCATGCAGGCTGGCAGGGGCTGCACATCAAAGGCGGAGGCCAACTCCTCCTCCATCCAGGGCTGAGACCTATGACTAACCCAAGCCACAGAGAGCAAGGCAGCAGCCTCACTGTGCTCACCAAGGCTGTGCCCACCACTCAGCAGCGTGGAGGGGGTGGGTGCATGTGTGTGCTGCTGAGGCTCCTTCACAGCCTCAAGCCCCACCCTCTCTTCTCCCAGTGTCCCAGGCTCGCTGCTTCAAGGGGCAGGATGTCTGCTCTGAATCAGGTCTCAGAGTTTCATCTGAGTTTTCTAATTTACTTTTATTAAGATTTTACTAAAAGCAGGTTACAAGCCTACAATCCCAGCCCTTGGGAGGCTGAGGCACGAGAATCACAAGTATAAAGGCAGCCTGGGCTTCACACTGACCTCAACGGCAGCCTGGACCACCCAATACCCAAGCAAACAGATGCTGGTGTGGAGCAGCAGGTCATCTGCTCACCAGGAAAGCATGGTTGCTCACCAGAGCATAGCACTGCTGTCTGGCACACTAACCTGGCACACACAGGGGGCCCCCTGCGCACAAACTCAGTCTGAGGGCCAGCACCGGCTTGCTTGTGGGGTGTAACACACACACATCTGGGCCTGGGCTGCACCATGTCCATCGCCCTACCTGGCCGGCCATGCTGCCAGGACACGCTCACTGCTACCATAAGGACCCAGTGGCATCATAGTGCTCAACTTGGCTGCTGGATACCCAGAGCTCAGCTCTTCACTGCTTCTCATCATGAAAAACAGGCACCGGGCTGGGAATTTAGCTCAGTAGTTTTGCTGCCTGCCTCGCAAGCGTAAGGTCCTGAGTTTGATCCCTGGTACCAAAAAGAAGGGAGAGAAACAGGCACAGCATCACATTTCCACAACAGCCTGTGCCATGCTGGGCCCACGTGGCACCTCAGGACCCATCTGCTTGGTCTCCACATTTGGGGGTGATTATGTCCAAGGAAAGCCAGTCCATCCATGCTTACTTTGTTTTGTGGTGGTGGAACTTGAAGCCAGGGACTTAAGCACACTAGGTGAGCACTCAACACTGAGTCCTGGGGATTTTCTTTGGCTTTGTTTTTTCCCTGGTACTGGGGATCGAACTCAGGACCTTGAGCTTGCCAGGCAGGTGCTGCGCCAGTGAGCTAAATGCCTATGGGAATTTTCTCACAGCTCGTGTAGACTCGAAGTCCCAAGCCAGGCTATTTCCTAACACAGGGGGCTCTTGCTGTGCAGGAAGAGGGCAGAGCCCATGTCCAGACACCTGTTATCAAGGTCAGAGTGCAGCCCTGGGCAGGAGGACTCTCCCTTGGCCCAGTGTGTAGGCACGAGACCCACAGAGTCACCCACCTACACCAGCCAGTGTGGGGCTTGCTCCTGGGACAAGCCCAGCATGAGCGCCGTCCCCTGCACATCAATGAGCAGGAGACAAAGGCTCACTCAGTGTCTGCAGGGCCAGGATGCACAGCTGTGAGGGCTCGCCGGGCCCTGTGCCAGCATCCAGGTGGCTGGGCCGAAGGAGACTTTCCTGCAGCACAGAGGGTGGGCTGTGAGGAAAGTGGCTCTAAGGGGCGCCCTAGGGCCCCAGCCCAGGCTCTGTCCTCAGATGCAGGAGGAGGAGCAGCACAACCTGTGTTCCTCCACGCACCATGGCGGAAGGTGTCCTGATCTCCCCATGGCCACCAGGAAGGGCACCTGGTCACTGTGCAGGGAGAGAAACATGGCCCAATGTCCTGCAGATGGGGGCCTGTGCAAGGCCACAGAGTCCTCAGGTCCATGGGCCAAGCACAGGTAAGAATCACCCTAGCTCCAGCACCAGCAAGGCACTCCAAATGCACAGCCAGCTAGGCACCTAAGGCTCTGGCAGATTGTGGCCTGCTCCTGTTCAGTCAGCATCACAAGACGCAGGGGTAGGGATTTAGCTCTGCCACACAGCGCCTGCCTGGCAAGCATAAGGTCCTGAGTTCCATCCCCCCCATACCAAAAACAAACAAACAGAAAATTAAGGGCCGGGGATTTAGCTCAGTGGCAGCCTGCCTCATAAGCATAAGGTCCTGAGTACTGGTACTGGTTTGGGAAAAAACAAAACAAAACGCAAAACCTTGGAAGGCTGAGGCAGAAGGATCTCAAGCTCAAGGCCAGCTGGGCAATTTAAGGAAACACTGTTTAGAAAAAATAAAATAGGCTAGACATGTAACCCAGTGGTACAGCAGCCCTGGGTTCAAATCCTAGCAATGCAAAAGAAAAGAAGAAAAAAAAACACAGATAAGTATCTCAGAAGTAAATATACATTGAGAAAAAATTCTTTTCTAATCTGCCATACCTAAAATATAATCAGAATTCTGATGAAACTAAAAATAGAAATTAAACAAACTTGAGTTTCTGTTTTGGGGCTGGGGATGGAATGCAGGGCCCCACGCACACTGAGTAAGCACTCACCACTGAGCTACATCTCTAACTTACCTTTTTATTTTGAGACAAGGATTCACTAAATGGCCCAGGCTGGCCTTAAACTCTGTTTTTGGTACTGGGGATCAAAACTCAGGACCTTACACTTGTGTTGCAGGCACTGTGCCACCGAGCTAAATCCCCGGTCGTTTGTTTTTTTTTGGTACTGGGAATCGAACTTGGGTCCTTGCACTTGTGAGGCAGGTGGGAGAACCACTGAGCTAAATCCCCGGGCCCCTGTTTGTTCTGAGACAGCGTCTCACTGTGTAGTTCAGACTGGCCTTGAACTCACCATGTAGCCCACACTGGCCTCAAACTTGTGGTGATCTTCCTGCCTCAGTCTCCCCAGGGCTGGGATTATAGGCGTGTCCTGCCATGCCTGGCTCTGGCCTCAAACTCTTGATTCTTCTGCCTCAGTCTCATGCCACCTGTAGCTGGGATTACAGGTGCGCACCACTGTGCCGGCTGGGCGCAGGCATTTGTTCCTACCCTCCCAGCACTGTGATGCACTGACAGGTGAGTGGATAGACAATATGGGTGTAGAGGCGCACACCTGTAATCTCAGCACTTGGGAGGCTGAGGCAGGAGGATTGCTGTGAGTCTGAGGCCAGCTCTGGCAACATAGTGAGGTCAAGGCCAGCAAACAAACAACAAGGAAACCTAGGCCTGTGTTCCCTCTCGTGTGGTGGCCCACTTTCACACTGGAGGGTGAACTCCTTTTCTTACTTCTACTTGGCCCAAACTTGCTCTGCAGAGCCTCTTCCCCTACCTTAATAAAACTTTGCCACAGGTAAAAAAAACAAAACTAAACTAAATTGAAAACAAGACAGTCTTCACACACAACGGAGTCTCATTCAGCCACAAAACGGAGGGCCGGGGATGTGGCTCAGTGGCTCCGCCGCCTGCCTGGCAAGTGCAAGGTCACAAGCGTGATCCCTGGTACCAAAAAAAAAAAGGGAAGGAAAAGCTGTGCACAGTGGTGCACACCTGTACTCTCAGTATTCCTGGAGGCTGAGGCAGGAATACTGTGAGGATTCTGACACAGGGTCTCAGTAAGTTGCCCAGTCTGGCTTCGAACTTGCTACCTTCCTGCCTCAGCTTCCTGAAGTCGCTGGGATTAGTGTGTGCCACTGCACCTGGCTGAGCCATGTTTCCTGTGGGCAGCAAGGCCATGGGCAGGGTCAGGAGGCAGAGGGTCTTCTCTGTGCTGTGCCAGCCTCTGGGGGTAGGTGGGGCCCAGCAACACCCCAGCAGAGGGACACGAGGCCTCCGGGGTGCAGTTCCATGTGCCCAATGATGTCTGCCCAGGTGGGGAGCAACATGAAAGGAGTGGGGCCCGTGTGCAGGGCGTGTGGTGGCACATGAGCACTGACCATCCATCTCCACCAGGAGCTGGTTGAGGGTCTGCTCCTCCTCCGTGTTGGAGAAGCCAGACTTGGAGGTGGAGCGCTTCTTCCCCACAGCATCGATCTCGTCGATGTACACTATGCACGGGGCCCGGGCCCGGGCTTCCTTGAAGAGGCTGCGTACGCGGGCAGCACCCAGGCCTGAGAGGACACAGCATTGAGAACAGATGGGCAAAGGGTCGAATCCTATTTCTGCAAGGAGCAGGAGCAGCTTCCGCCAAGGATGGTGGAATCAGGCAAGGCCTTCCCTGCACAGACCCTCCTGCCTCCCAGTCCACACAGGAAGTGGCATCAAAGCACACAAGCCCAGCCCCGCACACACAGGGCTTCCTTTAAGTCAGGCTGTTTTCCTAATCCACCCCCTCAGTCTGGCATGGGGAGGGACCAGAGCAGCTGAAGCTCCAGCCACAGCACCCCCTGCACCTACCTCCGACAACCTCCACGAACTCCGGGCCAGCCATCGCCAAGAAGGGCACCTGGGCCTCGGTGGCCACCGCCTTGGCCAGCAGCGTCTTCCCACAGCCTGGGGGCCCGAGCAGCAGTGCGCCCTTTGGGACCTTGGCTCCAAGCTGGAGGAAGCGCTCGGGGCTCTAGACAGCAGCAGACAGCACAACACTTACCACCCCTCACGGATGGTGGGGCTCATGGACTCCACAACTGGCTGCAGCTCCCAGTGGTTTAGGGTCCAAGTTGGCTGACCGCACAGTTGCCGCCACCATGACTCTCTGCTTGCCAGCAGCTGTGTGCTGCCTGTGCTCCTGGTTCAGTGGGCACTGGCCTGTGCACAGTGTCCCCGTCTAATCCCGGAATGCATCCACCCACGCTCCCTTCTGGGGTACTGGCTTCCCACTCACCTTCAGATAATCCACGAACTCCCGGACCTCCAGCTTGGCCTCGTGCATTCCAGCCACATCTTTGAAGCTGACTCCTTTCCCTGACTTTCCGTCCACCATCGTGAAGCGAGCCATCTTCAGCTGATTCTGTGCACCAAGAGTGTGGAGGGCACTGGTGGGTGCTGTCCACCTGAGCTGACAGCAGCTCCTGCCAGGTGCCCCGGGGACCCTGTGCCTGCAGCAGGGGACCAGGCCATGCCCCTGGTCAGGTCACTCTCCAGACACACGGGGCTAATCTTTGCTTTACATCATCAATAGGTAAGAAAGTTTCCCAGCAATTTCTTTTTTAAAAAATCCTGTCCCTGGGGCAGGGGAACAGCTCAGAGTCGAGCCCTCGCCTGCACCTTGAGAAAACAAGTCCCAAGCAGCAAAAGAGTAGTTTAGAGCCTTCTCTATTCACTATCTAGTTTTTTAAATTGTTTGATAAAGATGGAATGATACTCAGTATCAGAGTCTTAGCTCACTGTTAAGTCCCTGGAACACGAGGGGCAAGGCAGAGAAAGCTCATAATAAAGTGCATGTCCTTCAGTCAGACCCTACTTTCAGGATGATGTGCAAGGCAGCATTCAAAATCAGCAAAAACACAGACCTTGTTGAATGCAATCTGGTTCAGCCCCACAATGAGGCATCACACTGTCAATAAAAATGACAGTGTGAAGCCAGGTGGGGTGGCGCCTGCCTATAATCCTAGCACTCAGGTGGCTGAGGCAGGAGGATCACCATGAGTTCACGAGTCTGAGGCCAGCCTGGGCTTCATAGTGAGTTCAAAGCCAGCCTGAATTACAGAGCAAGACCCTATCACAAAAAACAATAAAATAAAACAAAAATAGCAGTGTGAAGCCAGGCACGGTGACGCAGGCCTGTAATCCCAGCCTCATGCGAATATCACAAGTTCAAAGACAACTTAGTGAGGGGCCGGGGATTTAGCTCAGTGGTTCCAGCGCCTGCCTCGCAAGCACAAGGTCCCAAGTTCAATCCTCGGTACCAATAAATAAATAAATAAATAAATAAATAAATAAAAAGTAGGGCTGGGGATTTAGCTCATTGGTACCGCACCTGCCTTGCAAGCACTAGGTCCTGAGTTCAATCTCTGGTAACAAAAAAAATAATAGCAATAAAAAAATGAATAAAAAGTGCTGAGCACACAGCTCAGGGGCAGAGCACCCCTGGCTTCAATCTGCAGCATGTCTTCAGATCAGACACGGAAATCTGCTCATGTTCTCCATGCGAACAGGGTGATGCCCAGGTGGAGCAGGAGCCACCTGTGAGGTGCCTACCCCTGGGTGAGGTGACCTCCCCAGACCCCACCTAGCTCTAAGAAACGTGCTTCTTTTAAGGACACTTTGAAAACAGGGAAAGCAAGGTGTCTTTCCCAGCAGAATCAGCCCTGCAGAGCACACTGGCCGCCATGCTCTCAGGCTCAGCCTGACGTCAGGGACCAAGCCCTCAGCGACACTGGGCTTGTGCACACCCCGCTCCCACAGGCCCTGGCGCCAGGCTGCTCTTCACTGCAACCGGCCTTCAGGCTGTGGGAGGACTCAGCAAGTACAGGCAGGAGGAACCACAGGTTGCACACTTACGAACGCGCTGAATCCACCTTCTCTTCCTGTCATCCCAGCCAGGCGGAACATGTACCACAGGATGGCCAGGCCCACGGCTGTCATCCCCAGGGCATAGAGGGCACTGAGTGGGAAAGAGAGACAGAGGCTGAGACTGTCGCCAGGGCAACTGGAGCAGGGAGCGTGGCTGCTGTGCCCTCTGTGCAGGCCCTGTGAGGTCAGCCTGAGGGTTCGGTGTGGGGCACACAGGCCCTGACCAGCCCAGGACGCCACCTGCTGAGCACAGCCTCACAGGGATACTCCTGGGTTCAATACCCAGACTCCACTTCCCTTATGGAGGAAGAGGCAGCTCTGCTGTGCCACACCTGTTGCCTCTGGTACATCAGTGGGTCGGTGTCAGCATGGTGTGGCTGGGAGCTGGTGCCTGCCCAGCCACAGGGTGCATGAAGTGGTGAACCTCTCCATGTGCTCACTTGCTCTCCTGAGCCCAGCACACTGTAGAATGATGTAAGTCATTTGTCCCGATCTGCTTGTGGTTCCACGGGCCCTAACTACCCAACAGCATCACACCTGTCTGTTTCTCTTAACACTGAAAGAATTTCTAGTCAATATCCTCACTTCTCCTTTCTGATCCATTTCTATATCTGCAGAAAACATCAAGCAAGCCCTCGCCAGGTGTGGTGGTTCACACCTATAATCCAGCACTCTAGACGGCCAAGGCATAAGGATCCCAGGTTCGAGCCTAGGCTGGGTAACTTAATAACTTAATAAGACCTTGTCTCAAAGAAAAAAGGGCTAGGGATGTTGCTCAGTGGGAAGGTCCTGGTTCAACCCCCAGTGTCACAAAAAACAATAAAAAACCCACAAACAGCAACTCCATACTGTGTTAATTGCCACCAACAACTACGAGTGGGTGTTCAGCCTCCACACAGATGTGTGTGCGTACATGCTGCCTGCTCCACTTAGCCCCAGTGGACTGCAGGTGAAACCAGGGAGGTTTCGGTCTACAACTTGTTCTCAGTGCAAAGCCAAGCTGGGCAGGTTCAGGAGTGGCCAGAGGCAGCCAACGTACTTCCCAAAGAACCCTGTGCGCTTGTAGGAGACTGGGATCCTGTCTTTGCTCTCGATGTTCAGCTCATCCTCAGCCGCACGGAGCTTCTCCTCAAATTTGTCGATATTTGCCACCTGCATCCGGTACACCAAGGACAGCCGCTGGGGGAGCAAGAGGACAAAGTGAAGGCAGAGCCAGGCCAGCTGCAGGGGCCCCGTCCCTTCTGGCGAAGACGCCATTCAGAAGGATCCTAACCTGAAGCTCTAGGTCCCTCTAGTGCAATCTGAGAAGCAAAACGTTAACAGATGAGCTCTCCAAGGGCCAGCTCTCTACAGGAAGGGGAGGAGGGAAATTTCAAGAAAATGGAAGAAGGCATCTACATCTCATTCACTACCTCAGACCCAGCCAGAGAGAGGACCATGTAGGCCTGGTGTCAACGCAACCAGGCATGCAACTGGGACTTCATCCACTGACTAAGGCCACAGGCAGGACTGGAATTCAGTCAGGCGAAGCTCCTGTGCACGCATCCCACCTCATTCCCTGGGATTTCTCCTGTACCTGTCTCCCGAGTTAAGCTCCACATTCTCAGCGCACACCTGAGCCTGGCCGGGGAAGGCTGCCCACCGGGAGAGGACAGAGGCTTCTAGTTCTCTCTGTGGCTGGCTGGTGGCTGCAGCAGAGGACAGGAACAAGGCAGGAGGAGATACCTGCCATCCCTTCCCATGTGCCCCGACTGCCAGGACAGCATTCCAAATGCTTTTTTTTTTTTGGTACCAGGGATCAAACTTGGGACCTGGCGCTTTTGAGGCAGGTGCCGGAACCACTGAGGTAAATCCCCGGCCCTCAACTGCTTTTTCTTTAAGGGAGGTTTATCAGATGACAAAGCCGGCATAATACTGTAGAGTAAAATAACCTGGTGGGGTGAAACAATCAGCATCCACCTAGGTATCTATATGAGCAATCACACTTATATGGGTTTCTTCTGCTTTGTTTTGTTTTTCTTGCTTTTTTTTTTTTGAAACAGGGTCTTGAGCCGGGTGTGGTGGTGCACCCCTATGCCTGTAATCTCAGCACTTGGAAGGCTGAGACAGGAGGATTGATGCTAGTCTGAGGCCAGCCTGGGCCACATAGTGAGTTCAGGGCTAGCCTGAACTACAAAGGAAGACGCTGCCTCAAAAAACAAAAAAAAACAAAAATGAAACAGGGTCTCATTATGTAATCCAGGCTGGCCTCCAACTCATAATTCTGCTTTGGCCTCCCAAATAGCGGCAGAATCGCTGAGCTAAATCCCCGGCCCTCTACTTTTTAATAAGCTGTCCAGGCTGGCCTTGAACTCACAATCCTTGCCCCTCCACTTCCCAAGCAGCAGGGAGTGCCACCACACCCCAGCCCAGAAAACACTTTCCAGGGCTGAGCTGTTGCCAGACCCGCTCCTCAGCCCTTGCTGAGGACCCAGCGCGGCCCAGCTGTAGCCAACCCAGGGGTATCCTGTCCCACCGCATCTCATCTTGGTGGTGAGGAGTTCCCTCGGATGTGGCCCAGAAGCAGCACGGCGAGGGTCCAAGGATGGGCACGGTGGCACTGGAACCATGTGGTACTGAGTCCTCAGCCACTGCTCACACCTGGCCCAGCCTGTGCTGGCTACAGCTGCTAGGCTGCCTTACAGACCCCATGGGTCTCATTGGGACTTTTTTTTTTGGTACTGGGGATTGAACTCAGGTCCTTGCGCTTGCGTAGCAGGCGGTGGAACCACTGAGCTACATCCCCGGCCTCATCGGGACTTTTGAATGCCTCAAACACCTGAATGGCAGAGCACTTGCCAGGCATGTGCAAGACCCTGGAGGTTCAATCCCCAGTACTGCAGAGCACAAGCAAACAAAAAACACTCTTCTGGGAGGTTGAGGCAGGCGCCTGGCAAGTTTGAACCCAGGGTGGAGACGTGAGAAGGTCTTGGGTTCAACCCCGGTAACACAAACACTGGAAGAGCCAGTGTGGCCATCACCAAGGTGCACAGAAAGGAAGAGCACAGAAAGAACCTTCTTTGTGTGCCAAGAGCCAAAAGTCAAAGTCTGAACCCACAATCCACTGCACATGGTGCAGCTCCACCATCTGCCTATGAGGCCTGCAGCGAGCTCTGTCCAGGCAGACATCCACCTTCACTGCTCTGGCTCTTCCACTGTCTGCCCACCGTGTCAATCCTATGGCCCAGACTCCTGGAGCAGCTTGAGCTGTCATTCGAGAGCTGGGGCAGAGAGCGTCATGCTGGACCCATGCTGGCCACCAGCCCTGGGTGCCCAACCCAGGGATCCTTGAGGGTGCAAGGTGGCTCTAATGAGGGGTGCTTGCCCTGCGGGAGGAGGCTGTGTCCCAGTGCCAGCCACATACACAGGCTAGGCAGCAGGTGGTGACCTGCCAAAGTCATCCTGCCAAAGTCCTAGCTCCCAAGGACATGCTCCCAGGGGCGGAGCAGGGAGACCTCTTGAGCCCAGGAGTTCCACACCAGCCTGAGCAATACAGCTAGACCTCGACTCGAAAAAATAGAACAGAAGAGACGAAAGACATATGACAGATACAATTCAGGCCCCTTGACTGAAGCTTGAACTTAAATATTCCCCAAAATAACGCTGAGTCAGTGTGAGACAGCCAGAAATGTGAACAGGGAAGGGTCCTGAGTGAGTCCTCAGACATGTGGCAACATGCGGTGACACGGGGACAGGAGGCCCAGTCAAAGCGCAGGTGCCCACGCCTGCTGCTCGCTGCCCTCAGGCCCTCCACTGGGCCAGACGAAGCCCCACACAGCCCTGTCTCTCCCGGCCGTGCTCCACCCCCTCGCGGAGGTCCAGTCCTCTGCGGTTTTCCTCTCACCACCTCTCAGTGCAGACCTATCTGCAGCTGGCTGGTATCACAGTCGTGTCCTCCTCACAGGGATACGACGTGGACACCCGCAGCTGAAGGAAGGGGGTACATCCTGGTTCACGTTTCAGTCCCATCAGCAGTCCCACGGCAGGACAGCTGGTGCAGGGCAGAGCAGCGCAGGCACACAGGAAAGGGGCAGAGTGTGCAGGGAGCGAGAGGGGCCTTCCAGCCCACCCCAGCAAGCATATCCTCCTCACAGTGTCCCCACAGGCCAGTCACCCCAGACGCCAAGGCTGAGGGCCGTGCTGGACCGAGACCCTAACAGTCCCCTTGCTCTCAAGGCCGGGGTAGGAGCGGGCTGTCGGGTCCCTTGGCCTCAGTCCCTCCCCCTCCTGACTGAGCACAGCCCGAAACTCTGCTGGCCATGCAGCTGTCCTCTGCCTCTCTTCTCTGACCCTGCCCCTTCTCCAAGCCAGGCGGTGGGAGACCAGTGAACAGGCACGGCCAGCCCCAGCCTGGGCCTCACTCACCGGCCGTCCAAACACCACGGCCCCCGGGTGCAGGTAGACCTCCACCACGTCACTCTCGGGCACCACCTGCACACGCTGCACCTCGCCCTTGGCCAGCATCTCGCTGACGAAGTCGTTCCAGGAGATGTTGCCACCGCTGGAGCTGAGCGAGTTTAGCAGGCTCATGACCACAGCGATGACCAACAGCGTGCGCAGCCGCTCACGGTACATCTGGTCCTCTCGCTCCTTGCGCTGCCTCTCCTCTGCACAGGGCACAGGGCAAGGAGATGCACACAAGGTCAGACTGGGTACCCCCACATGACACTGCTGCCTGCTGCGGTCTTCAGCAAATCTCACTTCCAGGGCAGGGCCCTCGGTCCTGCAGAACCCTACGCGTCTGGGGTGTGTGTGTGTGTTTCTGACTCTCGATTGAACCCAGAGCCTTCACACCCAGCTACATCCTCAGCCCTACTTTTATTTGCTTCTTTTGAGACAGGTTTTCTGTAAATCACAAAGTGGAGCACTCTGGCCTTGAACTCCAGATCCTCTTGCCATAGCCTCCCAGAGTACTCAGGTTACAGGTGTCACCATACATGGCTCTACCGGTTTTTCAATGGTCACTTGAGACAGACGCTGTTTGAGTGCTGTCTGAAGTCACTAACTTCATGTACTGAGGAAGGAAGGAAGAGCAGCCCTTACTTCAGATAATAGGAAACCATTTTTAACATAAAAATCTTTCCTGTAGGGCTGGGGATTTAGTTCAATGGTTCTACCGCCTGCCTCGAAAGTGCAAGGTCCCGAGTTTGATCCCTGATACCAAAAACAAACAAACAAACAAACAAACACACTAACTTTCCTGTAGCTGGATGTAGAATCCCACCTGGGCAACTTAGGAAGATCCCATCTCAAAATAAAAAATAAAAATGGCTGGGGCTGGGTGTGGTCACATATGCCTGTAATACGAGACACTCAGGAGGCTGAGGCAGGAGGATTGCAAGTTCAACCATAGCCTGGACAATTTAACAAGACCCTATCTCTAAATAAAAATTTTATTTTTTTTCTTTTCTTTTTTTTGTTTTTTGGTACCAGGGATCGAACTCAGGACCTTGTGCTTGCCAGGCAGGCGCTGGAACGACTGAGCTAAATCCCCGGCCCTAAATAAAAATTTTAAAAAGGGGTTGGGGATATAGCTTAGTGGCACCATGTCCTTGGAGTTGATTCATGGCACTGCCAAACAAACAAACCTTTCTCACTTTAAGATATGCAATGTTTCCATATATGTTGTCCTAATTCATTTCCAATTTTGCCTTTTATTTTATTTATTTCAGTTTTCTGAGACATGGTCTCACTATGTAGCCCAGGCTGGCCTTGAACTTGTACAATTTTGCTTTTTAAACCTGGGTGTGGTGGCACATGCCTGTAATCCCAGCACTTGGGAGGCTGAGGCAGGAGGATCACTGCAAATTTGAGGTCAGCCTGGGCTACATAGTGAGACCCTGTTTCAAAAGGCCAAAAAAAATTATTTTTTGCTTTTTGAACTTAATAACTTTATTCATTTAGTTATTATTTAAGTTAGTTTATCATACTAGTCATGGTGGTACATAACTTGTAAACCCAGCACTATGGGAGGCTGAGGCAAGAGAATTGAAAGTTTGAGACCAGCCAGGGATTTAGCACTGCACCTGCCTCATGAGCACAAGGTCCTGAGTTCGATCCCCAGTACCGAGGGAAAAAAAAAAAAAGAAGAAGAAGGTTTAAAACCAGGTTGGAGGGGCTGGGGATTTAGCTCAGTGGTTCTGTTCCCTGTGTTACAAGCACAAGGTCCCGAGTTTGATCCCCGGTACCAAAAAAAAAAAGTAAATACTTAAAACCAGATTGGGAAAACAAAAACAAAAACAAATAACCAGCTTGGACAACTCAGTGACTTTGCCAGACCTTGTCTCAAAATAAAAATAAAAATAAAAATAAAAAGGCTGAGGATGTAGCTCAGTGTGAAGGCTCTGAGTTCACTCCCCAGTACTGTAAAAAGCAATCCTATTTTGGGAAGAAAATTAAGAGCTGTTATTGTGTATGTGATTTCTTTATTTTTTGGTACTGGAGATCGAACTCGGGACGTCGTACTTGTGAGGCAGGCACCGAAACCACTGAGCTACATCCCTGTAATTTCATTTAGTATAGTGCCAAGCACACACTAATTATTCCTAAGAATTAACAGTTTCTACATTATTAGCTCCAAACAGTTAAAAGCAAACAATCAGCTTCCCCCCGCCCCCAGTTGTTCTTTTTTTGGTACCGGGGATTGAACTCAGGTCCCTGCGCCTGTGCAGCAGGTGGTGAAACCACTGGGCTAAATCCCCAGCCCGTTTCCAGGTTTGTGAGACACGGTCTCACTCTGCAGGTCAGGCTGGCCTTGAACTCACTATGTAGCCCAGGCTGGCCTCAGACTCGTGGGGATCCTCCCACCTCAGCCTCCCAAGTCTTGGGACCACAGCCGTGCACCATCATGTCTAGCTTGCAATCAGCTTCTAACTTACAGGTCTCACAAACTAGGTCAATTCAATTCAAGCCCTCACTCTCCACACTATCAAGTGAGTTCCAATCCCAGCACAGAAAGGAGACCTAAGTCAGGCAGGGCATTCTTAGATTTTGCAAGTGATCATGTGAACAGGACCAGAAGCCGAGTGAGCTGCTTCATGACAGTTACTCTCGCGCTGCACTCTGCGGCATGTGCTGGACTATCATCTGCTTCTCGCTCTCCCCTGGGGCCTGTGTCCCAAGCCCAGGGGCAGGGCTGTGCTTACCAGGAGTGCAGTGAGCACTCTGGACAGATCTGAGATGCATCCTTTTGTGCACACACAGAAAGTCTATCTGCCTTCAGGCCTTTCTGAACGAAATGCAGAGGCACAAGTGCCCCTGGAAATGTCCCTAAAGGAATATGCACAGCTGGGCGTGGTAGCATACACTGACAATCTCAGCACTGGGAGGCTGAGGCAGGAAAACCATTGGAAGTTTGAGGTCAGCTCGGGCTACATAGTGAGTTCAAGGCCAGCTTGAATTACAGTGATATCATCTCAAAACCTACAGTGATACTGTCTCAAAAAAAACATGTACAAAGAACCCCGGATTCACTTAGAAACAGGCTGTGTGTGTATGTATGTGGACTAGCACAGGCAGGCCCAGGAGCCTGGGCTCCCCCTACTTTCAAGGCTGGCTCCTCCTTGCTGAGAGGAGAGCACACATGAAGACAGCCAGAGGTAGCCACCGCTTTAGGGCATCAGACAGGTGTACCTTCATCATCTCCAGGGGCCTTCCCTTTGGATTTATCATTGTCTTTATTCTTCTGCCTCATTCTTGAAGTAGTAAAATAGTAAGTACCACCTGCAAGCAAGAGGGAAACAATGTAACAACCATGGTTTGTACCTACAGAGCAGACACAAGGGAGAACAGCACATTCTCAAAAACCAAGTCACAACTGAAACCATCTGAAATCTACATCCATGAGTTATCAATGCGAGCTAATAAAGTATTTCTTTCTATCATTCTTACTACAGTATATGTTAATTATAGAATAATGAACTAGGCACATGCCTATTATCCCAACACTCTGTGAGGCTGAGGCAGGAGGATCACAAGTTCCAGTCTAGCCTGGGCAACTCAGTGAGCCCCTACCTCACAATAAAAAAGGAGTGGGGAAGTAGCTTAGTGTAAATGCCCTGGGTTCAATCCCCAGAGGCCCCCTCCAAAAAAAAAGAAATATAGTTAACATATAAAAATAACAAAACTTCCTTTTAAAATATTTTATTATTATAACACTTTTAAAAGAGGGCAAAAAAAGGCTGGGGATTTATCTCAGTGGTTCCGCTGCCTGCCTTGCAAGCACAAGGACCGGAGTTCAATCCCTGGTACCAAAAAAAAAAAAAAAGAGGGCAAAAAAGGTGGGTTTATAGGTTGGACACACATAAACTTCATTTCAGTTTATCCAAAGACTGTGGATGCAATAGGGCTCATAATAAATAGAAGCTAAGGCTCCTTATAGTAATTACTCTTTGTTTTCTAGTCAATGTCAAAGTAGCAATGTTATCCTGTCACACGTTATTTAACAACACAGTATGTTCTGACAGATGCTTCATTAGGTGATTTCATCGTCATGTCAACACGACCACATATTTTCCTGGACCTAAATGGCAGAGCCTACTGCTCCTGGGCCCTGCTCAGTGTTTCTGTCTTGAACACCACAAGCCCCTGGAACACACTGGTAATTGCTACATCAATGGGCAACAGGCATTTTCCAACTCAGTTATGGTCTTCTGGCCCCACCAAACATGTGGTTCATCATGGATGCAAATACTGTATACTGTGTGACTATGCATTCACAAACACAACAACCTCTGCGTGCCACTTGTTACCAATAGACACACACCTAAAAGTCGCCAGAGTCCCACTGGATTTTGAATGAGATACTGTTTCAGTAACAGTCCAGCAATCCCTTCAAAGGCAGGTGTTAGCATTCTCGATTGCAAACTCTAAAAAACAAAACAAGACTGAGTTACGTGAAGACCACAAGTACACCAAAGCAATGGAGACAAAATATATATATTTTTTGGTACCAGGGATCGAACTCGGGTCCTTGCGCCTGTGTAGCAGGCGGTGAAACCACTGAGCTAAATCCTGCTACACAGGCACAAGGACCTGAGTTCAATCCCTGGTACTAAAAAAACCCAAAAAACAAAAACCTTAAGTTTGTCTTTATTTGTAATGTTCACACTGCCCTGGAATGTGGATAGAATGAGGATTATTTCAAAGTGTTGAGGTAATACCTAAATGTCCAGAGCTACCAAGTCAGACAAACAGCAGAGGCCTGACTGCTGTGCTTCCAGCTAAAGCTCTGCCTCCCCCCCACACCCTCCGTGTGGGTCAATAGAAAATAACTCCTTGGGAGCATCTCCAGCAGGAAGTTTTTAGCGTTCTCTTTCCTTTTTTTTCTGGTACCAGGGATCAAACTTGGGACCTTGCGCTTTTGAGGCTGGCACCGCAACCACTGAGCTAAATCCCCAGGCCTTCTCTTTCCTACATGAACATTTTCCCACTTGAAAGAATTCAATGAAAAAAAAAAGTATTCAATGTTCCTTTTTTTGCAGTACTGAGAAAGATCACCCCTCCATACAAAACTGGGCAACTATGGGTGAACTAGGTAACTATGCTCTTTGTAGAATGTACCTGAGCAGCCATGACAACTTCCGTAATCTGTCACTAAAGGAGCATAACGGACTCAGAAATTCCTGCCAGAACTCTTTGCTTTCTCCCCTCCACTGCTCTGCTTTGTGAAATCCTGCTTGCTCTATTCCCAGGGAAACTCCAATGGAATTAAGCTTTGTAGATGTAAAAAGAGGTATAAGGAACAAACTTCTTTTCGGGGCTCTCAACACTGACCGGAGTCACTTGCATTAAAAGCTGCTTTTTTGCTCCTATCTTTGTGTTAAGAGTGGTTTGGCGGGGGTCCTCACAGTTTTGTCAGTACTGAGATTGAACTCAGAAGTTCCCACACTAGGCAAACACTCTACCTCTAAGTTACATCCCAAGGCCAAATGTTCTTAAGATCAATGGGCCAATTTATTTACTTATTTATTTTTGTGTAGTACTGGGGAGTGAATTCTGGGCCTTGGCATTGAACTACATCTCCAGCCCTTTTTAAAATTTTGAGATAGGGTCTTATTAAGTCACTAAGTTGCCCAGACTGGGCTTGAATTTATGATCTTCCTGCCTCAGTCTCCCAGAGTGCTGGCATTACAGGTGTGCCCACCAGTCCTGGTCTCAATGGTCCAATTTAATATTTTCTCTATCTCTGTGTTGTCAATTTCTCTTTTCCCCTTTAAATTTCTCCTTAGCTCCTCCCTGTGCTGCTGCTAGGGAGAAGAGGAATGCTCTGCTCAAAGCTCTTTGCTAAGGAGTACATTACATGCAACTTCCTGTTAGCAATGGGCTGAAAATCCCTAGTCTATGCCACTGATTTACTATCACATTTCATTACTATCATTCTTGGCTCAGTGAGGGCTACAGAATTCGGACTGAATCCAGTAAATGACCAACATCAGTGTAGGAGATAAACCACAAAACTGGCCAGCCATGGTGGTATACACCTATAATCCCAGCATTCAGGAGGCTGAGGCAGGAGGATTGAAAGCTGGATAGGATACATGGGGAGATGCTATCTAAAAAAAACACAAACAACCAATCACATTCTTCAAAGTCAGCCCTAAATCAGGCATGGTGTCACATGCCTGTAATTTCAGCACTTGGGAGGCTGAGACAGGAGGATCACCAAGAGTTCCAGCTTACCCTGGGCTACCAGTGAGTTCAACACCAGCCTTTTTTCTTTTTTTTCTTTTTTTTGGTACCAGGGATCAAACTCGGGTCCTTGTGCTTGCGAGGCAGGCAGCAGAACCACTAAGCCAAATCCCCGGCCCTTTTGCTTTTTTTTCTTGAGACAGGGTCTCAGTATGTAGTTCAGGCTGGCCTCACTATGTAGACTCACTATGTAGGCCAGGGTGGCCTTGAACTAAAGATGATCCTCCTGCTTCAGCCTCCTGAGTGCTGAGATTACAAGCTGCACCATCACGCCTGGCCAAGACCAGCTGTAAACAGAAAACAAAACAAAAAAAGTCAGCCCTAAACAGTTTAAACTGAGGGTGCTTTATTAGTGCAACCAGCGTTGATACAAAATCTGCTTACAAGCCAGGTATGGTGGCACATGCCTGTAACACCAGCACTAGGGAGGCTGAAGCAGGAGGATGGCCACAATTTCAAGGCCAGCCTGAACTATTTTGTGAGACTCTGTCTCAAGACAAAACAAAACTGCAAAACCAAAACAACCACCACTGAAATCTGCTTATAGGGCTGTGACTGTCCCAGGTCAGGTGGCAGACACCTGTAATCTCAGGTACTCCGGAAGTTTAGGCAGGAGGATTGCAAGTTTGAGGCCAGCCTGGGCAATTTGGTGACTTAGTGAGACCTGTCTCCCCCGCTCCCCCCAAAAGAATTTGGAGTGTGACTCAGTACCAGAGTGATTGCCTAAAATGTGGGAAACTCTGGGTTCATTCTCAATACCACACACACACACACCCAGACAGACCCAGACACACACTGCTTAAGTATATATTTATTAACTACTTCATCCCCTATCTTCATAGGATAAACCTAGGGTCTGACTAAAGAAATGATTTTCCTCCTAAACAGAACTAAAGGTTTTTAATAATGCAGACTAAAAACTTTTTTTAAAAACTCAATATAGCTAGACATGATGGCACGTGCCTGCAAACCCAGCCCTCTGGGAGCCTGGGATGGTGGATCACAAGTTCGAGCCCAGCCTGGACAATTTAGTGACTTAGCAAGACCATCAAAATAAAAATAAAGCCAGGGGCCAGGTATTTAGCTCAGTGGTGCCATGCAAGGCTCCCAAACGCAAGGTCCTGAGTTCGATCCTTGATGGGGGGGGCGCCCCATGTGGTGGCACACACCCATAATCCCTGCACTTGGGAGGCTGAGGCAAGAGGACTGCCACAAGTTGGACCGCAGCCTGGGCTACACAGTGAGTGCAAGGCCAGCCTGGACTACACAGCAAGACCATGTCTCAAAAAAAAGAAAAAGTTATAACACGTAAAGTAAGATAAAATGAAAAGGGTTTAGGATGTAGCTCAGTGAGACGCCCTGCATTCAATCCACCGTACTGAAAAATAAAAGTTTATTTGTAATGTTTACAATTCCCTGAAATGTGAATGGTCTGAGCACCACTTCAAGGTTTTAAGATGACATGAAGATGTCTGTTTTCAGGCCAAGGTGCCCGTCTGGCAGAGCTGGAACACCGCGGGGTTTCCATGGACTTGTCAGGAACCAGCTACCCTCGTGCACAAGGTTTGCGCCCACAGCCGCTCCGAGCGACAAACAGATTTTCTTGGAAAGCGCTAGGACTCGTTTGTGATCCACCCGGCGATGTGGGTCAATGTAAACCCGTGCTCTCCTAGAAAGCGGTAGCACCTTTACTGGATTCCATCCAAAACGCCTGGGAACCAGGCAGAAAGGTCAACTCCCAGCAAGAGGCTGGGACCCGGTCAGGGGCCAGAAGAGCCGTGAGTCTGGAAGGCTGCGCGCACCTTTACCTGAAGAGCTCGGCCTCCCGCCCCGGCGACACCCAACGGAGGCCTGCAGACCACGTATGGCCTGCTCGCAGGCCCGAAGAAGAGGCCTGAGCCTAGGCCCCACAGGCGCCCGGGACCCGGCCCCGGGCCTTGACGGAGGATGCGCAGCAGCAGCAACACGGCAGCCATGTTGCCCGGAGAAGCGCCTGCGCAGTCGGGATTCTTCCGTGCACGCGCACTTGGGGCAGGACAGCGAAGGTTCGGGCGCCTGCGCAGTCCCGGCTCCTCAGGTCGCATGCTCGGTCGAAGTCTCCCAGGCTCCGCCTCTCGCGCCTGGCTGGTTCCGAATAAGGGGCCTGGCTTCTGGCAGTCGTGAGATCCGATGTGTGCTAAGCTCCGCGAGTCCCCCCCCCCCCCCCGTCAGGAGTTTGTCCATATCCGAACTGTCAGCCTGCGGGGTTACGCTCCCTGCTCCCTGATCCCGTGACCCCAGCGCCGAGTCCGCCAGCGGGCCGGCGGGGTGGGGGGCGAAGGTCTGGAGCAGGCCGCGGAGTCCCTGGATTTCCTTGAGCAAGCTGCGGTTGCCTGGATCTTATTTCCAGCTCAGCTGCAAGGTCTGCTCAGGGCCTGGCTGGTTGGTTTTCAAGTCTAAAGGGGTGTGATTGAGTCCTCCTCCCTGCTTTGTTAATTTGGGGCCAATTGGTGTCCTCCTAGCACTGCCAGCAGGCCCGGGGCCTTCTGAAGAGTGGAGTGGATGGTGTGCCAGGGAGCGGGGATCTGGGGTCCCGGCCGCAGAGGTAGAGCCCTTCCGAAGTCAGAAGTCGGCGCAGCGAGCCGCCATGGCCGTTTATCGTCCCGAGAGGGCTAAGGAGCCTGTGCTGAAGCCCACCAAGGGTTAATGTTCACAGGAAGTGACAGTTGTCTTCTTTTGTTTCTGGAGCCCCAAACAAGTTCAGCTTGCAGCTGGAAGGGCAGAAGAGGAAAGAGTTTGGAAAGGAAAGTTCTAAGCACTTCGTGGCTCATGCAGGAGTGGGACTTGTTCTACAGATCCTTAATTTCACGTGGATAACCATCTCCTCAGACCAGCTTGCTCGTTTTCTCCTGAAGGCCAGCTGACTCACTTCTGGAAGTCACCCCCCCCCCCGCCCGCCCGCCATGATCGACCGCGGCACCCAGCCAGGCTTAGTGCCCAGGCCATGCAGCAGGCCATATGCTACTCATGGGAAATGCGGAAGCGCGGTACCAGCAGCAAGGAAGAGGGGAACTGTTTTCTCATCCCATGGGCAGCTATACTGATGGCCCAGGCAGGGCCACACTGTCCGTCCACCTTATGGAGCCGCGGGAGGGCAACTGAGAGCTGTGGTCTGCCCAGATCTGGCTGAGTGCTCACTGCTCCAAAGGCTGAAGCTAAGCGATCTGCCACAGAGGTAGGGTTCCAGTGACTGAGTTTGTCTCTGTGTTTCTTTGTGTTCCCCAGATGCCTAACAATGAATCATTTTAACAAGAACCAGCATTATGAGTGCTGACTGGTGCCTGGCTCCATGTCAAACACTCTGATGTAATATTCACAGCTCTATAAAGTAAATATTTCTCATATCTATTTTACAGATAAGGAAAATGGGATTGAGAAAAAAATCCACTGCCCAAGATCAGAATTAGGGCTGACGACAGTTCCAAGGCTGGTCTGGAGGTGCTTGGGCCTGCATACTACTGCCCTGCCCATTAACACAAGGCCACACGTGCAGCTGGCCCACACACTGGGGGCTACGTGCTGCAGAGACCACCTGTGTTCCTTGTGGTCCAAAATGAAAGGCCTGGGGGTGTCTGCTGAGTGTCCTTCGAGGTGGCCCCTGTGGTGCCCACTGTGGTTGGGAAGTTGGTTTGTGGGCATACCACTGATTTTCATTGATTGTTTTTCCCATTGTTTCTCTTGTTCTTACAATCTTCCTTCACAGTTAATCCATGCTTCCCATTTCCTCTTCCACTAATATTTTGTTTTGTTTTTTTAGATGGGGTCTCACTATGTAGTTCAGGCTGGCCTTGAACTTGAGGCATTTCTCCTGCCTCAGCCTCCCTGGTGCTAGGATTATAGATGTGTGTCACCACGCCCAGCACCTCCATTGCATTTTCTTCAACTGGTTAAGACCAGAGAGTATTGTTCTGTCCACTTTGTGGCTTCTAGCAGTTGTGTCCTGCCTCATTCTCCCCAGGGTCGTCTTGTGACTAGCAAACTTCCCAAGGGTGTCTTCTTGTACTCATAGGAGCTGGTGCAACAGGGCCCTGATGGGAGGTGACCAAGTCACCCCACCCCTGCACACCGGTGTTAAAGAGAATTTGTAACTCAGCCTTTAATGGATTTGAATATGTTTATGAGAGTATCTGGATGCAATTCTATTACCACAATTTAAAATAAAATTGCTATTGCAGTCTAGATTCTGCCTGGTGATTCAGTCAGAGGCAGTGCAAGAGGGCAGGTCTGTGGAAAGAACATTGGGCCCTATCTTTCCAGCCTGTGGCCTTGAGCAAGTTATTAACTTCTCCATGCCTCAATTTTCTCATCAGTAAAATGGGGATAATTATCCACAAAGCCAGCTAATGTCAGCCTTGGGTTTCCCACAGGATTGTTATAAAGATAAAATGGAGTAAACAGATGTGAAAGCAGCTTGTGAACCAGAAAGCCATTTACGCCAGGGAGTTATTACGGCTGTGTTGTGAGAAATAAGGGCCTGGGAAAGGGCCTCCCAACTAATTTACTCAAACTCAGCTGGCTCTAATGGGGCGTTGCAGTTGAGAAGTGGATGTAGCTGCTTCCATCCTGGCTCTGGGGTGGCAGAGCCAAGGCCCAGCAAGAGGGACTTCCTGGAGGAGGCAGGTGCCCTACGGTCTGAGCTGTGGTGGTGGTACACACCTGTGCGTGCGCCCGGCACTCTGGGAGGCTGAGGGAGGACGATATCAAGTTCCAGCCCAGCTTGGGCAATTGAGTTTCCAAAATAAAAAGGGACTGGGCTGGTCGTGATGGTGCACGCCTGTAATTCCAGCACTCTAGCGGCTAAGGCAGGAGAATTACTGTGAATGAGGCCAGCCTGGGCTACATAGAGTTCAAGGCCATTGTGAAGTACATAGCAAGAACCTGTCTCAAAAACAAAACGCCCCTTGAGCGGGGGGGTTTAGCTCAGTGGTTTTGCCGCCTGCTGCACAAGCACAAGGACCCAAGTTCGATCTCCGGTACCAAAAAAAAAAAGCCCAGGGATTTAGCTCAGTGGTTCCGCTGCTCTCCTCAAAAGTGCAAGGTCCAGAGTTTGATCCCTGGTACCAAAAAACCCAAAACACCCCTGAACAAACCAAAAACAGATGCCCCAGGAAATGAGAGGGGTCCATGGGCGAGTTGGCTCCTTGGATCTTCCTCCATTCTCAGACCTCTTTTCAGAGCTACCAAATGCCTGGATGTTGGCTATCCTTTATTCTGGGCAATTTCCGTAACTTCTGCCTTGATTCTTTTGTGCTTTCGAATGTGCTTGCTGACTGGTACTTCCTCATTACCAGTTCACCTCACTGAACTCTTTATGCACTGGAACGCTTAGGTGTGGTTTCCCGTCTTGTCTCCACTGTCTGAGGCCATCTCGGGGCCAGCATGGGCTGAGTCAAGACACAGCCCAGGACTCTGAACCGCTGCCCTGATGCCAGGTGCTGGCCGACAGCATTAGGTCCATCAGCGAGGAGGCCCTGGGGGTGCGAGGCAGCCCTATGAACTTGTGTGTGCTGTGAACAGAGGGCATGCCTGTCCCCAGCCCATCCTGGGAAGCTGCCCAGTTCTGTGTTGATGCAAGGGTCCTGGGCCCCGGGGCCTACCCAATACCAGCTGGAAATCTACAAGATAGGAATACGATTTTAATATTCTGGAAACAGAAGTCAATTTTGGGTGGTGTGTGTGTGTGAGTGTATGTGTGTGTTTCAGATAGCGTCTTACTGTGTAGTCCAGGCCTTGAACTTGCTGTGTAGCCTAAGCGGGTCTTGAATTTGCAGTCCTTCTGCCTCAGTGTCCCAAGCATGTAGGTGGAACTGCAGCCGTGCCTGTAGTACTGTGCCCAGCCCTTTGTGATATTAAGATCCATGTTTCCTTATTAATATCTGAGCAAATAATTATTAGCTTTTCCCCAAATTTGATAGCAACTAATTATTTTTGGTATTTTTGTACTGGGGATTTAACCCAGGGCCTTAGACATGCTAGGTAAATGCCCATATGGTAGTTACTTTTCTCTCATTGCTGAGACAAAATACCCAACACCCAAAGTTAAAGGGGAAAGGATTTATTTAGCTCACAGTCTGTAGAGGTTTCAGTCCATGATCAGCTGGCTCCAAGGCAGGGTGGCAGAGGGGCAACAGTTCATGGCGGAAGATGGCAGAAGCAACAAGGGAGCTTAACAGTGACTTTCTGCCTCTTTTATCCCATCCAGACTACTGGGATTAAGACGGTGCCAAATAAATCACTCACGTGTGGTGGTTTAGTAATCACACGTCCTTAATCCCAGCATCACGTGTTCCAGATTCAGCCACCTCTGGAAAAGAAAGCCCTGTCTCATCCACATGAGGCTTTGGAGGGCTCTAAACACAAGCCATAACAACCACTGAACCACATCCCAGCCCTCAGGAACTTCTTATCACTTGTTTGGTTTTGGTTTTTTGAGACAGGGCTTCACTATGTAGCCCAGGCTGGCCTCCGGAGTGCTGGGGTCACAGGCATATGCCTGGCAGAGTAGCTGGCTTGTTGTCTCTGGTCTTGTGGTCCCAAGAGTACTGGACAGGGGACTGATACAGTGTTTGGAGCAAGAAAGGGTCTGCAGGTGTGGATGGCTTCCCCACTGTTCTCATTCCAGCAGGACCCCGTGGCTGGTGTGCCTGGGATGGAGCCGTGGTCTCCATGTCCTCACGGGAGAGTTCCAGCCAGCAGTTAGCACAACTGCCCTTCCTGCCTGAGGGGACAGAACTGGCCATTTTCCTGAAGGGTGGGGTCCTTTGCCATTGGCCTTGTGATCAGTATCACAGATTGTCATTAGTTGGCTTGTCTTGGACCCTGCTGGTCTGGGTTTTAAGCAGATCAGTGCTGCTATAGGATTTCCCCTGCACCATGTTGAACTTTGGACACCCCCGGCCTCCCAGGGAGGGACTCTTGACCAGGGAACATACCACACCCCTGCCTCAGTCAGCAGTTGAAGGAGGAGATGCCTTTGTCCCATCCACTGGGAAT